TACGTACAAAAGAAAGGCGTCTAATCAAACTATCAAGTTAGTTTGAATACTAACCTGATTAATTCCTATTAGAAAATACGACTAATTACATAGCTCGTAAACCTAGTTCGTAGTTCAGAAAATTAATATATCGTGTTGATAAACATCTGGCAAGTATTCGGTTAGATACTAACATTAACAACAATCTTGATAGCTTAATTCCTTTAAAAAAAGTTATTTTTTAAATTATCTTATAATATGAAGTTACCGAGTGTACAGTGTTATACAATACAAACAGTAATGTTAATTCTCTCACTGGTACACGCACACGTCTTTGTTGGTTCTCCTGGTTTAAACAAATAATTTACAACCTATACATCTTATAAAGCCCGTTTATTGGAAGTGCCTGACGTATTTGCTTCGACACATAATAATACATTTTAGTTATTACAACAAAACTTTCTCGACACCCAGAAAACGTCGTACAAATAATAAACACCTTATCACAACAATATGGGTGCTGGAGATGTATTGTAAGACTTACTTATGACGTCACAACATACAACTTTGGTTAGTAGTCGACTTTACTGCTATATTACAACAGGTTAAGTTTTAAATGGACACAGTCTTTAATAAATAGCTTCGTACCAAACAGTCAGGCGTAGTATAACTGAAACGTCCTGACCAGGACCCAGTAGCTGTAGTCAGGAGCTCGCACCACTGCTGTTCACGTGCTGCCCTAGTAAAGGAATGCGGATGAGTACACATTGCTTTTTAGGGTGAAAGGATTTTTTCGGAGGGTTCTTTCGATATTTTGCACTGTATCAGTAATACTAAGAAACTTTATACAAAATAAGTTATCCGCTACCTGTCGATTGTCCTCTCTTCAAAATATCAAATTACATCCAGATATAAAACACATACATATACTGTACACAAAACCCGTACACCGTGTTACACCACGTCACCATATTCACCCCTTCATGGCACATTGCAATCAGCGCTGGTTTTAAACCACGAACTCGGAACTTGGCTGTGGTTCCAAGGTGAGGGACTATCACAATATCAACTATCTCTACCTGTGGGCGTTGGCTATAAGGTAAAGTGCTATGTCCCTGTGTCCCCCGTACGCCGCTATGTGTAGAGCACTCCAGCCATCTCTATTCGCCAGCCTGGCGTCAGCACCGAATTTCACCAAAAGCTTCACTAGCTCCAGATTACCGTTCATACAGCTCTGGTGGAGAGCCGTTTGGCCAGTTTGGTCGTAAAAGTTCACGTTCACCGAGCCTTCCCAGCGCTGCAAGATGCTTTGGAGTTCACCGGTGTCTCCGTTCCGCACGGCCTTCAGGAATATCTCTTGGTAGGACGGGTCAGTTCCGAGAGCCTCACATCTGCTGTTCGCTTCGCTCGGAACGATGGACGTGTTTCCAGCTTCAGTGTTAGATTTGACAGTCATCTTAGGTCTAGCTTTAAACAACACGCAGTCTGACCCTCTAGTCCGTCTTCTTCAACCAGACTGCCACGTCTACAGTCACTAGCTTCGCCGCTGGGGGTTTTCAAGTATTATCATTACAACGGTCTGGTTCCCGCGCGAAAACCCGCAGCCAATGATATCAAATCACTTTCGGATTCCCACGATTGCTCCGCCTCTTCTTGCTTGATTGACACCAGGCTAGCTGAAGTGTGCCAAACGCCAACAGTGATAACCAGTAGCGTGGGAAGATTACCCTCTCGGCTGTTTCTAGTCCAGAGAGTTGTGGCAAAACCAGAGCTCCAAAGAAATTATTTTGTCTAAGAAAAATCAGAAGGAACAAAGGGAAATCGTTAACCCAAAATTTGATGCAGTTTTTTTACTCATCGGCCTGCATATTAGGCTTAACACTTTCACATACTGAAATAACACGTTACAGTTATGTCAATCAAAATAATAAAACAAACATTATAATTCGGGGAACATATAACACAAAATTCCTATCAAATTACATTTTCTGTCTTTCTCTCTCTCTCTTTTATACATAAAATTATATCTGTATAACTGAGTTGAAGCCACAACTTGCAATCAGAGTTTAATAAACGTTATTTATTCTTATTTCGCATCTGTTGCCACTAGAGGCACGCAAGTTCCGACCTTGAGCTCGAACGTTCTCATGACCTCCATGTAGTTGAGACTTTTCTTCGTCTTGGCTGCTGTGTAAGAACCGGCTGAGGTTTAACGTAGCACGTGACCATATTCTCATCAGAAGAAGACTTTCTTTGAACTTGACTAGTGGTAGCACGTGACTTTGCGGGTCATTGTTCCATGCGGAATTAACTGACCACTGGCGAGTAGCTATATAACTTAGTAGAGGTAGGAGTTAAAAAAACACTGAATGTAGATTGTGTCATATAGAAACTATTTTAATATTAACTTCCGATCAGAACAAGCTATCTACTTAGAACAGAATGAAAGTCAACCTGGCGGTCAGAATAGCAAGGTAAATAGTTAAATTACATGTTTGTACGAGAACCACCAGACATAGTAAATATTCAGTTAGTTAAACTGTGATTGTACGTTAACATTCTCAATTAGTGATGCAACAATATTATTAATAAACCTTACAACATTACTGACAATCAATGATGTAACAATATCATTAATAAACCTTACAACATTACTGACAATTAATGATACAACAATATTATTAATAAACCTTACAACATTACTGACAATCAATGATG